AAGTCCAAAAATTTAAATAATCTTGTCAGTGAATGTTAGCCTAATAGCTCCAATAGTTTTATGAATATCACAATGGTTGAAAGCTGCATGACTTAATAAACCTAAAAAATGTTGTTTTTTTGGGTCACAGACCGACAAAAATATTAAGAAATATTTTTGCCCCGCCTTAATATTTTGTTGTAAATGAATATTACTTTTTGTCACAAAAACTAATAAATTAAGTTAAGTTCTCCAATTTAAAATAAAAATGACTGGCATAAATGGCAGTTTGTTAGTTTCTAGAGACTTTAAAAAAACATGACATTTTCATATTTTTTTAACATTTTCAAAATTATGTAATTCATATTCCTATATATTTTTATACATCCACACAAGAAAAGTTCCATCAATGAATCCTAAAAATTCATTTTTTAAGCTTTAGTTTGATATAAAACTTGTTTACATTCCTCAAAGTTGAAAATTTGCTAAATCTGAAAAAAAAGTCATGGAATTGCCCAAATATAAATGTTTTTTCCCTAATAACTTGATGTAAAAGTATAACTCCAAGTAGGGAGTTGTTATTTAACTATTATTATCAAAAACTTAAAAAATACACACCATAATAAATGTCACACTATTGATTCCCAACACAATGGCGTGTATTAAATTTCTTGGATTTTGATTTGAATATTATTGGGTGCACTTTTGAAACAATGGCAACCTTCATATTAGTGGATGTGCACCCAGAATACCAATAAATAAACTTTCAAAAAAAAAAAAGATACTACACTAAATCTGAACTAAAACGCAAAATAATTTATTCATAAATCTGTAATTATTAGTTACATAACTAATGGAGTATTCGATTTTGATTACATTGGAAGCAACTCTTTTAACATTAAAAATGCCATGAAGGCCTAGTGGTAGTACTGGCAGTAGTGCTACAAAGGACTCGAGGACACCTAACCTAGCCTAACTAGAGGGCTTAGGCCTAGCGTACTTCTCTTACTTAGTCTTCTTAGCTTGCCTGTCTTGCAGATGAAGAAGAGGCAGGCATATCCTAGCTAGCTAGGCCTAGAATAGATAGGAATGAACTTGGATCCCCACCCAGTAGTGATAAAAAAGAAATAATAAATAAAGCAAAACTAACCTTTCCTATATTACATTTAGCACAATAATCCTGGTCTCATTTCTAATTTACCAGAACATAATAGGCTTGCTTACAAACGCCACAAAAACCGTAAAACATTAGAACATGCGACATATTTTCTGTCAGTACATGTGCGTGAACTTTGACTTTTGTAAGTCACCACAAAAGAGCATTTCGAAAACAAGTTCCCACAAAGATCTTTTTTTCTGCTGGGGCGGATTTGGGGGTGGGGGAGGAAAGGGGGAAGCCGGGCCTTCCCCATTTTGGATAGGTTTTGTCTCGATCGGCCCCACTTTCTTCCCCCTTTCTGTCATCCAAAATTAATGAATGTCTTTTATCTGTAGTATTCTAATTAGAGACAAGCTGCAAACGGGGATCCGCAGACCCCGCCCAGGGGCGGATCCAGGATTTGAAAGAGGGGGTTCAAAACAGGGGCGGATCCGAGATGTCCAAAGGGGGGGGGGGGGCGCGCCCCCGCGCGCCCCCCCCCCCCCCTAAATCCGCCCCTGCAAAACGTTTCCGAAAATACCCAAAATGAAAGGGGTCTGTCCTCCCCATGGAAAATTTCCCCCTTCAATCCGCCACTGTATGGGGGAATCCTCTAACGCTCAGGTGAACGAGGGTTTTAAAACAAATACCGTAGGCCTATATACTCGCGTATGGACGACGCTTAAAATATCAAATTACAATCGAAAAGCAGGGGGTCGTCTTATACGCACGACATTCAAATTTTAGATTGTTATAATCATGTTCGTCTTATGTGCGGATCGTCCGTAACACGCGAACTCACTGCTGCAATGAACCAACTAAATGTTATATGAATGAAAGCAATTTTAAATACGGGAAAATACGATTTTGGTGGTGAAGATTTTAAAAACTCATAAAATAGTGTTATTTGGAAGATTACCCTTGCATTTGGCTCCATTTATCCAACTAGATGCAGTAGGCTATCAGGACAAAAAATAGGAATTCCCTTGAAACACGGAGTCGTCTTATACGCCAGACATACAAATATCAACCAAAAATCTTCTAAAACTCGGGGGTCGTCTTATACACGGATCACCTTATGGGACCTACGTACGCGAGTATTGCTTATTACAGAACCCCTGCGGAAGTTCGGGTTCCCGTCACATAATCAACGGTTTGTTTCAACAATAAACTCGCAAGACTGCTAGCGACTACTAGATTCTACAGTGCGTCGTTGGCTGGATAGTTTTGGTCGGAAAGGAGAAATTTTCTCCGTGAATTGATTATATCTAAGCTACCGTATGACCGTTTTTATATTTTTAATAAAACCAATTAGTCTTCTAATTTTAAATGCGTTTTCCCTGAATTTAATGCGTGACATATTTATGATCTCGCATGTATTTCTGTAAAATGCGCTTCATCCAAAATCACTTTGAAGTGATGCGTGACGGTTGGTAATGCCATAGATAACTGCCGCGGCGCCGAAGGTAAAATTGGTAAAAATGCACCTGATCGGATAGAGACAGAGCCTTTAGTTGGGTCTACTCAGGCGAAACTCTTAATGCTCATAAATTCTGAGATTTTTTAAAACAGAAAAGGTACGGCATTAACGCTCAGAAATATCTAAAAAACATTTTGTTTAAAAATTCAAGAATAGGCCTATTGAGAACAAACTATGGTCAAGTCATATATATTTTATCGTTTAGGGCCTATTAGGCATTTAATGAATCTATGATATATTATTATATTGACAACATAAATAGAACATAGGCCTACATAGGTCGAATTTTATCCAACCCGTCGTGAAAATGTACCGAATACTCAGTGCGTGTGAAAACACTCTCGAAAGCAATCTCGCTGCTTACTTGGTCTCGTATTCAACTATGGCCATCAGGTGCAAGCTCGGTGGTCTAGAGGCATAATGCCAGGCTAGTGATCTGGAGAACGTGGGTTGAAGTCCCACTGGAGAAAAACTTGCAAATATTTTTGCCAAGTTTTTTCACACGCACTGAGTATTCAGTACATTTTCAAGACTGGTTGCCCAAAATTACACACATAGGCCCTCCCCCTCCCCAATTGATTCTCCTGACGCAAATCCAGGTATTCTTTACATGGGCGTCGATCGGTGGGGACAGGGGGACACGTCACCCCCACTTTTCAAAATAGGGGAAAATCATATCGATTGTCTCCCCCCCCTACTTTTCACCAATCTTCTATAATTAAAACCCCACTTTTAAACGTGTATGGAAAGATAACCATTACGCATGACTCATGAATTTTGCCTGTTCAATTTTCCAAGTGCGGTACGTATTTTCCGGACCAAAACTGAGTAAAAACGCATAATAAATAATAAATAATAATAATAATAATAATAATAATAATAATAATAATAATAATAAATAATAATAATAATAATAATAATAATAATAATAATAATAATAATAATAATAATAATAATAATAGTAATAATAGGTCGATGTATAAGGTGCAAATAAACAAGGTGTCTAAGCACCATGTATATAGTGGAACTCATCATGAAAAACAAATCATCAGTACATATACTGTTAAATAAATCAAAATTGAAAATAAAAAATCAACATTGAATATTCAAGGACTGTTAACAGTCCTTGATAATCACCATGTCAATAATGACTATTAAAATATTTTTCGCATGAAATGTTTCTGTAATGTGTAAATGAGAAATAAATGTGGGGGGATTCTACTACAAAAGAAAAGACAACTTAACTTATGATGAATTAGACCCAACATTTGATGAAATTAGCTCTACGTTTTGATAAATTCGACATCGATTTTATAATTATAATTTTGATTATGACGCTTCATTGTAATGAGAAGATAATGATGTGATTGGTTTCTTAAATATAACATTTGAACTATGAAAGCGTAAGTGGTGACGACAAACTTGTGAATACAATTGTACAGAGCATCAGCAACTCAAACCTTGCTAAAACTGTCTTCACAACATAAGTGTACATAGTGAATGCCGAATTACCACTATAAGGTCTACTGTAGGAATTTCGGTAAGTGGACATCTGGATTTAGCATTAAGTAGCGAAGAGAATAAACATCATGAAGGTCTGACTATCCACTGGCATATATTATTTTAATGTAAACCTTATTTTTTTATGAAATGTAGTTGCAGTGAAAATATCGTTTAGAGAACTCCTGGATTCTAATTTGTTTTCCGTTACCGCGTCGGGCGTCGAAAACTACCTAATATTACTACAACTACTACTACTACTAGTAATAATAATAATAATAATAATAATAATAATAATAATAATAATAATAATAATAACAGTTCAATGAGACTAATTAAAAATAATTTGCGTTCTGTTGTGACAAATGCTCGTTTGGATAGGCCTATCTTTATGATGCTTGGAATCGTGATAGGGGAAGCAACCTCGACCTTGACAGCGTGGTTGACAGATTTCATGCAAAATTTCCAAAATGTAGAATTTCACTTTCAAGAATGAGAATTTGAAAATAAATTAGATGGTTACATTGCATACTCTTTGTTTCTTGTTTTATTCATAATGTTTTGGTTTTGGAAGCTGATTTCGACATTAGAATGCATAGCCTATGAAGTCATATTATAGTGTCTCGATGCCTATCAAATAAATAATAAAAATTCGCCATAATTCGTCAAATATCCGTGGCTTCCAGGGGGCGAATCCCCCTGGACCACCAGCCAAGTGAGGCTCGATTCGCTCCACTAGCCCCCCCTCCCACCTCCGTCGGGGCCTTTAGCCCCTCCGCCATCACTGAGTAGTAGTAGTAGTAGTATAAGTTGTACGTTAAGTTGTGTTCTTCATGTTTATCCGTAATAACGTAACTCAACAGCAGTAGAATTGCAGAAAATTATTTTCATTTTTTTATTTCTATTTTTCAAGTTTTCTTATCGTCCCAATTCAGTTACAAAAGTTGTATTTAGTTAACTGCGATGGCATTTGTTTTCACTAAAAGATTACAAGATATATATATATATATATATATATATATATATATATATATATGTATATATATATTACTGTATCCCATTTTTTAAAATAGATTTTTGATCGCCATGGAAAAGCTTGAGGTTGTGGCAGTTACCGGAATGGTTATTTTGTCCCTCTTCGCCATCATCGGAAATACTACTATTATCGCCCTGTTCTTCAAGGTCCGCAGTCTGCAAACCCCCTCAAATATATTCGTAGTATCACTGGCGTTTACAGAGCTTTTTGTTGGTGGTATTTTATATCCTGTGCAATGCTTATTTGATTTTAAAGTTATAAATGACAACCCAGGATGTATCATTTTTGCGTGCTTAGCCATGGCAACGGCACTCGTTCATGTACTCACCATATTGTCCCTATCCATCGAACGACTCGTTACTATCTGCAAACCAATGGTGTACTCGACAATTATTACAGAGAAGAGATGCTATACCACTTTGTTTCTGATTAGTGTCTACTCGTTGTTAAATGGTCTTCTGCCAGTAATCACTCCGATTGGTGTAACGTCTTCTCTTCAAAAGGACTGTCGAATGGACAGAGTGTTAGTATCGGAAGTCTATGTATTGTGGCTATACGCTAACTGGATTTTGTCTCTTTTGGTGGTCATCATCATATCTATTAAGCTGTTCTTTGTTGTACGTCGGCACAGCAGGGCAATAGCGGCAACTGAATTACAGAGAGCCACAACCAGGGTTGCAGTAAATCGAAATGAGACAAATTCAAGGTTTAAACTGAAACGCGAAGCGAAATCCGCTTTTTTGTTGATCTCGATTGTTGTGTACCTCACAATCACCTGGATACCCCGTATTGTGGCAACACTGATCAAAGATGAAAGTCAATTGGTTCACATGATTACTCACTTTCTTATCTACAGCAACACTGTAGCGACTCCGTTCATTTATGGATTCGGCAACAAGTTGTATCGGCAACATTTTATATCAATGCTAAGATCATAGCACCAGCCAAAATCAGAGAAGAATAAACTGTAACACTAACACTAACCATATTATGTCGCAAAATGAAGGCAATGAAAGGTGGCAATTGGCTAATACACAATATTGCATTTATTCATTTTATTGCATTGCAGAATAACTGGTGGTGTCAGTGGGGGTCAGTTTTAGTCACTCTCTATATATATATATATGTTATATATGTATATATATATATATATACAGTATATTGTTTTTTTTTTACAAATAATCCATTATTTGTTTTAATTATATTTCTTATTAGGAATGTATACTTATTTTTTAAGGCGGAAATTTTTTCGGAGGAAAATAAATCTTAGAAATAACTATTTAAAAGAAAATATTTGATCAGAAATCTGATATACAAGATAAGTTGCAAACATTCATGACATAATTTGTTAAACTAAACCAAAGCCATAAATCACTATAACATTTAAACCGGTTTGATCCGCAGAAATACAAACTAAATATTGTACCAGATCAAGGTATGGTTCAAGCAATATAGAAATTAATGTAAGAATATGTAGTAAGCCTGAGACAAATGCCTCAATGTAATCAAAATGTGTACAGTATTTCTTTTTTGTTTCTATTTAATTTCATTTGCTTTGCCTTTGTTTTGATTTGGACATTGTCTGAAATAACAAGAAATTGGATGATATAGTTTCCTCAGTATACATAAATGTCTTCAGAAAGGTTCTTGCACAAGGAATCTACCATACCTGTGTAGCCTATCATATCTCGGTTTTGAAAACAATGAATTATTATTTTGTTTTATAAACAGAAGACACTAACCTGTCGTTTGGAGAAATAGAACCTAACGTTTGAAGAAATTTTACCTACGTTTTCTTTAATTTTACAATTACATTTGAAATTTAGCATCACAGTCTTGCCGTTTATGAAGGTTAATTGTAATGATAGAACATACTGCTGTGATCGTGTTTCTCAATGCAACAATTCATCTAGAAAGTATTAAATGATGAACAAGGCAGACACAGAATTGTGAAGATATCTGTAGCGAGAACCCGCAACTAAACTACTAGTACTTTTGCATCAAAGAACAGAGAGCTTTCTACTGGTAAGTGGATATCGTTGCCAATAGCAGTGACAAAATTAAATGTTGTTTATTTTTAAGACAAATAATCTGAGTAATCCATTTAGAAGAAATAATGCAGTGTTTTTGATTGTTTTTCCGAAGATTCAGAAATTTACTAATACATATAAAGGTCGATATCATTTGGATGAGGTAACAGTGCGTAGTTGTTGCAGAAATGGCGTTCAGTGTACTACATTTACACCGGACACGATTACAACACGACGACACGGTACGGATGTTGCAGTGTTGAAGAATACAAACTACGCGATGATATGATGATATGTCATTGTCGTGTCGTTATGGTGTTTAGTGTAAATCTAGCTGAAGCTGGGCACTTACTGCGTCAGACGGTTCTAGGAAAACGCAACACCACGACGGTCGCGCAACGGATAGTTTTAATGACGATCAGTTCAGACAACCACTGACAGCGCTAGCACTTATTACAGGCAGTGGAGTAGGATTCGTCGTACGACGCATGCACTGAGTGCCCGGCTTTACGGAATCTATTGTTTCCGTACTGCGTCTTACCGCGTTACCGCGTACCATGCCGCGTAAAGTAAAATTGGCCATTTCAACTCGCATATTTTCTTAAAATAATTCATAGATAATGCATGTTTCCTTGATAATCACACATTGTTTTCTCCAAATTTGTCAAAAATTTGTCGTTTTCGGAGTTGAGGGTACGATGTAAAACATTTGGCTTGGAATCTATATAGGGCCTATGCTTTGAGAGCAGCTTAGCTAAGTCGGCTAATCTGGTGGTAGCCACTGTGTGTGCGCTGAACCGTGGAGATCTCTAGGTCCCCGGGGTTAAATTCCCATCGCTGCCTCTCCTCCTTGTGTTTCAGCTGAAGGGCTGAAATACAAGTTACAATAACGCACCGTATTTCGGATGAGACGTTTAAGCCGTTGGTCCCGTGTACACTTATGGCCCATGTGCACGTTAAAGAACGCAGTACACTCTTCGAAAAAGAGTAGGGGATTGTCTCCCGGTACTGTTCAATCGCCACCAGAAGGACCCTACTGGAAATAAGACTTCTTCTAGTTCGTGGGATCCTTGGTGTTTTCACCGAATAAATCCAATCCAATCGACACAGCACTGGAAACAATAAATCTATGTAATACACTTTGTGAAAGTTGGGAACTGTACGTTAGGTTTTGTTATACTTTTATCCGTAATGTTAACGTTGCTGAAAATCGGTAGGAAAAATATACACATTTTTAAAATAATTTCTATATTTCCCATTTACTTTTTCAATAGATTTTTGAACACCATGGAAAAACTTGAGGTTGTAGCAGTTGTCAGCATAGTTATTTTGTCCTTTTTCGCTATCATCGGAAATACTACTATTATCGCTCTGTTCTTCAGGGTCCGCAGCCTGCAAACCACATCGAATACATTCGTAGTATCACTGGCGTTTACAGACCTCCTTATTGGTGGGATTCTATATCCTGTGCAGTCTTTAATAGATTTGAAAATTGTATATGACCACCAGGGATGTATTATTTTCATCTGTTTATTCATAATAATGTCGCTGATGCACGTGCTCATCGTGTTGTCTTTATCCTTCGAACGTTTCGTTACAATCTGCAAACCAATGGTGTACTCGACGATCATTACAGAGAAGAAATGCTACATTACTCTGGTCCTGATTATCGTCTACTCGTTGTTAAATGGTCTTCCGCCATTTTTCTCTTCATTTGCAGTCACATCACCTATGCAGGAGTGTCAAGTATTCACTGTTCTATCAAAGGTCTATCTTTTATGGCTAGTAATCAACTCGATAATTCCTCTTCTTTTAATAATCATTATCTTTGTTAAGCTGTTCTTCGTTGTACGTCGGCATGCCAGGGTAATAAGGGCGACTGAGGCAGCATCAATTGGGATTGCGGTAAATCCGATTGCGGCAAATTCACGGTTCAAGCTGAAACGCGAAGCGAAATCTGCTGTTTTGTTAATCTCGATTGTTGTGTATTTTATAATCACCTGGTCACCCCTTATTGTGGCAAATCTGAGCAAAGTTGATATGAATGAATTGTTTTACATGATTATTCACTTCACTCTCTACAGCAACACTGTAGCGACTCCGTTCATCTATGGATTCGGCAACAAGTTATATCGGCAACACTTTCTATCAATGATAAGATTAGAGCATTAGCCGAAGTCAACCGAGGAAAGAATTCACCATAATTTTCAAGCAAAATGAGATGCGATGTAGAGTACAAACTTAGCTCCAAAATATTTCATTCCAATGAAAACAACTCGGGGTTCTAGGGAGTGGACGCCATATATACGAGTGCATCAAACAATTGAGGTGCCTCTAAAATTAATTTAAACATGTACATGTTGCAGCCTATTACATTCATTATAAAAATAATTTGAAAATTAATGTTATGGAGTAACTATAAAATGAAATTATGTAAAAATAAGTTACAGGTTAAATTATTTTCCTGGAACATTATTATGTGAGTATTTTACTAAATTAACTTAATAAAGCCTAAGGTTAAATATAGTTGAACTTCTCGTAAGCAACCACCTCGGGACCAAGGAAGGTGGCCGCTTACGAGAGAACATACCGCATGCGGCACAAACTTAATTTGATACCGAACAATCAGTAGTGCGGGATGGCGAGATCACACGGCTGATCCTTTTGACAGTTTAAAATTATTATATTTATAACTTACCGGTATTTGATAGTAGCCATATTCATGTTTCAGGTACAGATTAATATTGTACCTCAATCTCTTGCTGTTTGTTTTGAACACAACTATCAAGTACATTAATATCACACTAGACATTCATCACATTTTCATTTACTCCCACCTGTACTTCGTCATGACATAATATACATATAGGGCCTAACTAAATTCTGGAACTCTCTTCCATTAACATTGCCAAACTGCTAATATCTCAAAATTTAGGAAAATATTAGAGATCACCTACTCTATACTACAAATTACCATTAAAGTATATTAGGCCTATCTCTTGTCGAACTCTTCAAATTACTTTACTATTTTTGGCATATCATTCTTATTAATTTTTTAGAAGTTTAGTGTAAGTTTATTATTTAATTTAGAACGTAGTATTTTTTATCCAAGCTCTGCTTTATATGGTCATGAAGTACATGTGATATCGGTTCTCTAGTAAAGACACTTAATACATCAACATAATAATGTACGAAAATCGTTACTATTACTTTTTAGAGATAATTACTTTTGTGATCAAACCGCCCTCAACCTATGAAATCTATGATAGATGGATTGAAAATCAACTGACTTTCACAGGGCCGAGTTCTGTAGTTATAGGCCTATAGTTAAAACGTTTTATATCACCCTCACCATTAATATTTCTGTCCTAGTTTCATTGTTGGAGATGTGTAACTTTAGGGAACTACAACCAATTTGAATACCTCACAACTTCGTTTTCGTTATTCATGTTTAAAAGTGGCGGATTCAATGTGGGAGGGGCCCTAAACTTCTAAAAATTATAAGTGAAATGAAGAAAAGGGGACGATTATAATTAACTTTAGGTCTGAGAGTGCCATTTCCGGCAATCTAGAGGTGCCATAATTATAAATTTTCTTACCTCAGCCCCAACCATTTTGGGGTTGAGGTTGTCTAAACTCTCCGTACGCGGTGAAAATTCAAGAGCGGTGCTTAACAAAGTTTTGTGTGGCATCTGTTTGAAAGTGATTATATGAGCGAGATACTTCTTGCAAAATTTATAGTGTAAAAAAATGTTTTGCCTTTGACAATAAATAAAAGAAAAGGATTACGCATGCAATTGTTGGCATGAGGAGGGACTTCGTAATTTTGATTTCTCCTGTTCTGTTTAAAATTTAGCGGTAAATTGGTCACATTAGGCCTATATTATAGATCCGAGTACAAGTCTTACGTTGGCAAGTATATCTCAAAGCTATCCGTTGTTTTCTGGTTGTGAAATATCATCAACTACTCGTAAAACCATGGTAAAACAAAGATAAACGGTGCATGGAGATATAATTGGATCGGCTGGGAGGTAACCGTAAACGGCGAACTTTCATTGTTAAAATTAAGTCATCCTAACGTTATTCATTTAATTTAAATATCTGACCATAGTTACTTTCAACCATTTACCAAAATCACACCGTAATAATACAAAGACTCATTATGCATTCATTAATTTTTTTTAGTTAAATATGTTGAGAGCAGTATTTTCTGTTTAGGCCTATTTCTTGTTTTTTTTTTTTTTTTTTGCGTTAGTTAAACTGATGATAGTTAATATTTTAACCGAAACATGTATTCGAAATTAAAACTTACTGTTATATTTATCCACTGTCTAGAATTCTTTGTTTTGAATCGTCGTTTTGGCAACCTGATTTTTTATTTACAGAGAGAAAGACACTCCTTGTCGGAATTACGCTATGAAAAAATATCAAGAAGATGAAATAAAGCCGAATAATACAGTAATAGGCTTAATGATAATAAAAATTTCCTCCATGGTAACACCGGTTACAAATCACTGGCCAGAACCCCGAACACGAGCACGCGGAATCCAACAATCAACACCCCATCACCAAACCCACGCTCTCAAATCCCAAGAACAATTAAAAGAAATTTGGTAACCATGGAAGAATATCAATATCAAAAGAATAGGCAATCTGGTATAAAACCATGTTTACATAGATTAACACAATTAAAGGGACAAAAAGTATAGCACAATTATTATGCAAATGCAAGGAAGTAAAGGAACAGGACGATTATGACGTTTTGCCGTTATTGTTATAATTGTTATTGTATTCTTTACAGTTATCTTACCGTTGCCGTCGCCATTGCCGTTAGATCGCCATCGCCATTTTCATCATCATCATAGACATGCTCATAATTATCGTGATCATCATCCTCCTTATCATTATCATCATCATTACCATTGTTATCTTCACCACCATCCTCATTACCATTTTTATCATCATTTTTATTATTAAAGTATTGGATCAACGCCTAGTGTTTAGCATTACAAAAAATAGCAAATGCATCGAACGTCAAACGCAGGCTATATGTTCAACATTATAATATAAATTTCATTAACGTGTCCTGACGGAAAACAATTGAAGTATTGTTAACAGGAAAATATAATGTTTAATTTAATAACCATCATACATGCACTTAACAGCCCTGATGAGAACGCTGAGAAAAATGACAATCCACACGCATGGAGGATTGTTATTAGAGGACTTGACTTAGTATAACCTCTCAAGTTAGTTAATTATGCTATTAGTTATTAACAGATTATTAATATTATATTTAGGCCTATACATTGGCTTACAGGCTACGAAATGACTTTTCGAATCACGATCTCGGTACATATTGTCAATGACGAATCAGACCTGCGCAACAAACGCTGATTAATGAAAATCAAATTCTGATGAAAACCTCAATCGTTCCAATGTTGCAAACTTATTATGGATGGATGATAATCTGGAGGCATGTCTGGTATACGTATACAGGTTATTATGCGAGCTCAAACATAGCGACGTCTCCCGTTATGCGCTTGTTGCGACGCGTCCCATACCCATTCAAGCAAACGCATCGTTCTGTCACTCAGCTGAACAAATAGACCATGGCACGAACTGGTTGCATCTCCTGAATATAACAATGCTACAAATTCGATAGGATCTATAAATCTGCCAGATTTTCTTAAGACCTAAATTTAAATCCAAAATATAAATTTGTTGAATATTTGATCAGACTTTGTCTGAGAGAGTATGTTGTGTCAGACATAATCAAACAAATCGAGTGTCTGTCCATCCATGCCCGTTGAATTAAATTAATGCTTTGTTTTATAGGCCTACAACTGAGCTGTTGAGTCTGGCAAACACAAGTCGGATAGGCCTAGTTTAGGTCTAGTTTCGGCCTAGGTCCATATGACCAACATTAGCTTACTATAGGCCGAGTCATATGTGATGTCCATTCCGTAAACATTATTTCCATTTTTCGTTTTCTTTTATTTCGACTTTTCGGAGGAGTTAGATCTGTTTAATTATTACAAATAAATGTATGTTCTGTAACTTGCCACGCCACGAATCAATAATTCATCATTTGAGACTAGTAGGGACATACCCCACTGTACTAATAGGGAACCGCGCTGTGGTGGACAGATGAGCACAGTTGGCACCGTACCGGAAAGCACAGACCCAAAGTTACCCCTATAGAGTCTATAGAACGAGCTATAGTTTACGCATGTTAAGTGCAATAAAATTGTTGATGCTCATATCAAGTTCCACTACATTTACATTATTAGACCCATTCGCTAAGCCACGCCCCTTGGAAAATGCTACTAAGGTCCTACGAAACCACAGCGTACGTAAACGCATGCGTGTGTGTGCGCGACATGCGCGTCTTCATGTCTTCATGATCTGAATCGGTTAGCAGGATCCGGATCCTGCTAACCGTTAGCTGCCGTGTGAGAACATAGTCATTGTAAAAGAAATAAAAGCTATGTTCTCACACGGCAGCTAACGGTTAGCAGGATCCGGATCCTGCTAACCGTTAGCTGCCGTGTGAGAACATAGCCTAAGAATAAATGAAATTATCTATTTGGCTATTTTATGTTGGGAGCTATTTACAATTAGGCCTAACAAGCTTTAAGATACCTCTCAATTATGGAAAATAATTAAATAATACTTTTAATATTTTTTTCAGAACAAAATAGTAAATTTTTATCCATATATCACTGAAATTTATTGATCCTTTTTTGTAGATATTGTGTGATAACGCACGCGTTCAAAGAGACTCGAGGAAACAGTTAAGTATTATGTACACATCATAAATTAAAAACAAGTTAAGATATAATGTAAAGATTTGAACATATTTAATTAATTATCAGTGATAAAATGAAACATTCAAATACAATATTTCTAAAATAAAAGAGGTAATGAAGAGTAGTAGGCCTACAGTACGATACAGGTCCAATCTTATATGTCGCTGTCAAACCAGCTCAGTAGACGCTTGAACTCAACTATCTCAATCCCTGAGCACCTTATATAGTATAAAGTCAGTACCATCTCGGTTCCTGAACCCGTTTATCTATAAACCAATTTGGTTGAAAGATCATTGGATATCCAGGTCCCCAGTCAGTCGGGAACTGAAAATGTAAAACCCAACTACTCTCTATACCATGTAACTATCAATAATATTTACAGTGATAACTATCATTTCATTATGGTTGTTAAGTTGAATTCAGGTAAGTACAATTTCAAGTTACTTAATCATTACTCACTGTTAAATTCCCAGTTTCTGTTATACAACATAACACCAAGATCAGGGGCGGATCCAGAAATGTCCAAAAGGGGGGGCCGGAAGGGGGGCCGAAAGTTGGGCCGATTGAGACAACACTGTCGTAGGGGGTCCGGGGGCATGCCCCCGCGAAATTTTTGTGTTCTAGACG